AAAAGTAATGCAAAATTTTTAATGGCCCTACATGGATAAAACCAAAGGATTTCGAATATATGACAAAAAGTCAAAAACAAGAGAAGCAAATTAACATTCATAATGGCTGTTGTATTGTAATTCAATACAATATGTACAGCTCACTATAAAGTAGTCTATTTTTTCACTGAATGTCTCTTTGAAAATTAAAAACGTACAGTCTTGGCTTTGGTTTTGTATCAATTTTACAACATTACAGTATTTGCTTTTATGGTTTTATGTATGTTAAAATCAGTATCTGGTTTAATTTACACAAGGGGTTAATGTTTAGCAGGGACTTTCTATAGGCTAACTGTATAGACTGTCCCTATGTTTAGTTAAAAATATTTTAAAAAAAATTAATTGTTCTGCAATCGTAAAAATAGCATTCGTGGGTAAAATATTAACTAATTTTTGTTATCAAAGCAAGATTTGTATTGTATTAATATTATACAAATCCTTGATTTATGGGAAAAACACACATGTTGTTATCCACGTACTATGTATGTATGTACTTCGAGATTCCGCCAGTGTAGACGCACCCCTTGATTGACTGCAAAGGTACAGCGGATCCATGTACACTCCCTAAAGATTAATGGAGATGTGTCCTTTACAATATTAAACCCAAAGAACTTCCACCAGGAGGAATGACAAATCATTGAATTATCACCAGTGATAATGAGGTTTCCAGATGCACTTGAGCCATTAAAAATCAAATACCTGGCAGCTTACACTACACAGATGTATTAGCATCATATTTCACTTCATTGATAAAAACACAATATTTTGTAGTTTTAGACGATTTAAGTACACAATTTAAACACAGTTTACTGTTATTCCCACATATGCCCCATATATTGGATACCAACAGGATTAGGATAAAGTTCTCTAACAAGTTCCAAAACACACTCAGGCATAATTTCCCGCTGGTGCATAACAACCCATTCACCACCACAAACTCTTTTCTTTTAATCCAAATACTGTGGAAGTAACCACCCATACATATTGTTTATACATTTCCAAAATCTTCTATATATCCCTTTTCGTATCTGGGGGTTTGCATTTGAGGATGGTTGGCCATTTTCTACCCATGGAGAAGTAATGTTTGAGGTAGCAACACATGGTTTGATGAAACAATAGGGACATTGTCCTTCTCGTAATTCAAGGTCTCCATAGCCTTGATCTGGATCTCCATTGTCACCATTGTCATCTCTGTCACCACTTTCATCCTGATTGTTTCTTTGGCTCGAAGAAGTACTTCCACTTTCATCCTTTTTAGACCTTTTTCTCTTAAAGAATTTCTTTTCTAAAATAAAATTGCAGTCATAAATAATAAAATACATATAAACATTATGATATGCATTCTTTACATTTATATTTGTCACATGATTATAATAATATAATAACATAATCCAATTTAAAAGATAAATGACATCTTATTTAAATAAATATTCACCTTTACAGAATAATGTTTTATTAAAATATCTATAAAGTAAATGAATAAAAAAATAAATATACTTACCAACAATACATGATGTCATATTGTGCTCTTTCAAAAATATCATCAATTTATCCTTTTCCTCTTCATTTACTTTCAAAACCATTTCACATCTTTTTTCCATCTTTGCTTTTGCACTTTCTTCCATTTTTGCTTTTATATTTGACCTTATCTAAGTCATGTGATTATATGTTTGAATTTGATTGGTCTATTAAATTTTGCGCCTAATTTTTCAATTTGAAATCAAATCTGATTGGCCCAGATCATTTATCAAAGTCATGTGATTTAAAAACTTTGAATTTGATTGGTTTGCTCATTGATGCGCTTATATTCTTTCAATTTCAAATCAAACATAGTATTTTGTTCCTGTATACAATAAGTTCCAAGATAGCTAGCGATATGAATATACTAAGTAATATTACAAATGTGGAGTATTTTAATAGAAAGAGACTTTCAAATGGAGAAGTGAAATCATACAAATATGTCAGAAAACCTCGAAAATCCATTGACTACAATTTTGACAATGATTCACAAAAGTTGGCATTTGATGAAAAATATGAAGGCCTAAAGAGGAAAATGAAAGTAAAATCTAATGTGGACATTTTGAACATTTTGATGGACTTTTACAATCAGAACTGTTCAACTCCAAAGCTGAAAGAAAAAATAAATCCAATTGATAATAGTGGACAGGATGACCAAGAACTTTTTGTTTGCTCAAAACAGAAACTGTTTGAACTGGTACGTCTGTCACAGTGGTATGGTCCCCTTGAACCGGCCGAAATGACAAAAATTGGACACGTTGCCAGACTAGTTGTTAAACCAGTTAAAACCACATCTGTTCCGATTTTCTGGCATTCCTCATCCGCACTGAAGCAGGACTTTACAGTGAATTACAAGTTGATTCATTCTTATCTCTGTGCTGGGATGTTTCCTGCCCAATACGAACGATTTAGTAGTTTCGCTAACATTGGACTTCCACAGAAACGATTCCGTGAAAAAATGTTTCCAACATTCAGACAGGTGGTGATATCGCTTCGGGACAAGAGCATGGATGATGCTTTAAAAGAGGAAAAAAATAAGAATTCTTTCAGTGATAATAAACTTGACATTATGACAGATGCAAGACATGCATGCAGAAAGAACAGTTTTCACACTGATGTAACAGCTCTGGGAAACTTGACTCATAAAGTAGTAGGATATAGTCACGTTACTAAGAACCAGGAAAGGAGTTCCCAGAAACATGAAACTTATGGAACAGAAAAGCTATACGAAGATTTCGAAAGGAAAAGGATAAAGGTGAAAGTTCATTCGCATGATAGAAATGCATCTGTCAGTAAATATCTGAGCCAAAACCAACCAGATGTAATTGATTCCTATGACACTTGGCATGGTGCAAAGGAGGTGCGCAGGAATATGGCAAAGATTACAAAGGGGACAAGGAAAAACATCGGAAAGACATGGCATCCGGAACTAAGAGACAAATCCGCTGGTGTTAAAACCCGTGTTTACTGGGCAATGAAGAACTGTAATGGCAATGCTGCTCAATTAGTGCTCTTGCTTGATTCCATTGTGGACCACTACAAACAAGATCATAGGAACTGTCATCAAACATCAAGATGCAAAAATAATGACTATGTGCCATCACGAGACATTATTCGGGATCCAACAGCCGAGTTGTTGCTAAGGAACAGTATAAAAAACCTTTATATTTATAAGCATCCAGAAAAGTATACACATTGTCGTGACACTCATTATATTGAGAGTTATCATAATACAATTCTTATACATGTGGATAAAAGGTTACATTATCATAATTTAATGTATGAAATTAAGTTGGGACTATCAATACTTGATTGGAATGAACATGTTGATAGACCTGCTTCATCTGTACAACACCGTGTGCAACATGACCATCCACGCCGACAATCTGGATATCGGGTTTTGACACCAAAACAATATATTTTACAGATGGATTATGGAATAACTTTGTAAATATGTTATATCATGACCGCAATGACCAAATTGAGCCTGATGACGTTGAAAATGTACAAATAGACCAAAATGATACAATTGTATGGTACCGTAGTGAATATGAAGATTCAGATGATGATGAGTAAACTGTGATATATCTTTATGTATAATTTATTAGTATAATTAAATTATTGTGTGTGCATTTCTGTCTGCTTTGTTAATTGAAAAAACAAAATATTGATCCCAAAATTTTTAATTGCAAAAACTTATGAAACACAAAAAATAAGATGATTTCACACAATACTGTAAACTCTGAAAATGTAGATAAAAAATACAAATTTAGATGCATAACACACTAACATGTGATGATGCTCAAGGCCAAAATGATGATTTAATCAACAATTACCTAAATTATTGAAGACAAAATAAAAAACTGTCTAAGTACAAAGTTATGCAGGGGGAGATTCTCCTTATTTTCCCATGAAATTTGAATAAAATCAACAACAAAGAAACAGGTTTGGATTTTGATAAACTTTCAAACATTTACTGTGAAAACATTAAAAAATTTGAATTTACAGAATGATGCATAGACATCAAACTTTAAAATATCAATTATTTATCCAAAGAATGGACTTACATTCTACACAGGTATACAGAGAGTTCATCCCATAGTATAACTTCAAAAGATAATTATGTGTAAAACACTCTACAGTAGAAATGTCTTTATTGAAACTTTACACACATCAACATTTGTAGCTGTACCTAAATGAATGCCATTAATAACCTTTAACAAGACAGATACTGTATTACTATATCACTTTCACTATCAGCTGGAGATGGCAAGTAACTTGTGATAAAACTTGGACACTGACAGCTATGTTCTTGGGGTTTAAGCCACCACCAGAACAATCCCCACCTCAACCCCGCCCAAGGGAGCGTGTAGGACACCGGGAAGTCTGTTATTATGGTGGAGGAAGCCGAAGTACTCGGAGAGAACCACCGGGCTTCTCGGCGGGAACAAACAACCCGAAGAGATTTCAGAAGATTGATCTCCAGGTCAAGTTTGGAACAACTTTGACCTACCGAGGCCCCCGAAGTATCCAATCTAGTTTAAACTCCGGTCTGGATACCAGAGATGTGTGTGGGAGGGTGAAAATCACCCTACTGATGTACTGAAAATTCGACGTCTCGAGTGAGAATCGAACTTGGGACCTTCAGCACTGTAAGCCATCGGTCTTAACCACTAGACCCAGTTCTGCCAACTTTTAATAATGCAAATGCGTGAGATTTGTCCAAAATCGTAAAGATCAAATAGAAAAAACAATAGACCAAAGGAAAATGCCGCCAAATAAGCATGAAAATGCGTGAGTCTCACGCTAAATGCGTGTGACTTGGCAGCCCTGTTAAATAAGACCACGAACCCACGTACTGTTTTTCTTTTTTTTAAAAGTAGATAGAAAAAAATATATTATCTCCCTTGAAGTCCCGCCCACATTTCCGGCTTTGGCGCTCGAAATATGAAAACATACCACCATTTGTTGTCAAAGACGCCACTCGTGTGAAACTTGGTTGCCCTTAGGATTTGGCAGTATTATTGGCCAGTCTTTTCTATAATTATCTAAATGGGCTTTGTCCATAACTGATAAAATTAAAAATATCTTCCTAGTATACAAGGGATATAATGGAAATGGCGAGTGGTGGTTTGACCCACACAAACGTGATTGCTTCGGGTGCATACGGGATCACAACGAGTCCTGCAAGAAATAGAAACTCCAGTACCATCAAAACAAAAGCAAACGATTTATTAGATCAAATTAAGCAATTGGAGATTGAAGGACAAAAACTGCGAGCTCAAAGTTTGGCAAATTTAGGTAAGTTGAACTGCATATTTCATGAATGGGCATGTTCAAGATGTCATTAGATATTTAAATCTTAAATTTATTACTTAAAGTGTCAATTGTAAACAGTTTAATGAGGTATTTGTTTACACTATTTAGCATCATTATTTGTTTTCAAGGCTTAAATAGTTTCAGAGAGTGTTATATTGTCAACCAAGTCTACACTAAATGTATTAAAGCCAAAGGTTTTATTTGTGTATATTAGTTTTTGAAAATTTTAAATTCTGTTTATCCAAACTAAACAAACTAGCAAATTCTCTTCAAATTAATGAATGCAGGACTTTTTGTGGAAAAATTGTCTAAAGGAATTCTTGAATTTGTCATTTTTTTTTAGTCTTTGGATTAAAGTTTCCTTTGTTAAATCCTTTAAGATCATGAAGATTTTTAAAAGTTTACTTCTGGACACATTTATTGACATTATTGTTTATATTACATGTAAATGTATACATATACATGTAATATATACATGTATACATGTATCTTTGGTTTTACATGCATATTACATTGTATTACATCATTAATGAGCATGGTACAAAAAATATACATTTGAACATATATTTACTAGTTGACTAAACTTGAAATCTGACTAAGGTACATGTACATGTAATACATGTACATTTGTATTAGACAGCTGCAGGTGTTACAAAGTCTGGATTATTTTCATGTTGCTTTTTGGTAATCAGATTATACATGTTCATATACTAACTTTTGGGAAATGGCAATCTCCTTCAACAGTGTGAACATGGTGAATGACACGTACAACTGTCTGTTGTAAAATATAATTAACAATTTTGGATTCACTAATATATTGATCTTTTTTTAATTGATTTTCTTACTGTTATGAGGACTTTTTCCTCTATAAAAGGCTAAATTTTAGTCAAGTTTCCTTTTGATGTATGAGTTTATTTTCCCTTTTGTAATCTTACACCTCTTTTTAAAGCTGACAATAGACATGTACAAATCAAATAATATACATGATACATGTTGTAGGGCTCACACTAGCAGGCGACTGGGGTGACGAAGTCGCTTTCCCGTCTGTCACTTCGCTTTGCCCGACCATCAAAAGCGATATCAAGTTGCCCTGTCAGGGGCGTAGTTAGACTAAAATGATGTGCACGCTGATTAACAGCCGAGCGGAGCGAGGCGAAAATGTTTTGGACCATTTTATGCAGAAACTGATATTGTTTTCAGTTTTCGGTCATAGGAGGGTTAAAAGAGGTGCTACATAGGACTTATAGACAATTCATGAATGCAAAACTATCCAGAATTCTTTTGAATAGGGTAAATCATGGTATATTGAATACATAAGCAATACATTTTTGTGAGACAGAATTTCTACTCAAAATTGTCCAAAATCTGCTCTTCGGGTCTTAGCAGAAACGAACTTCTCAATTACTTTGTCAATATTCACACTGAAATTAATCCAGATGAATATGCATTAATGCTAGCAATGATCATGATAACCTATTGTTATTCATGGTTGATCGTACATATGTTTTCAACCGATGTAGTACACTGAACGATCTCTCCGCCGTAGCACTTGTTATCGGCATTGTCAACATAATACTCAAAATAGTATCTACAGAAGGATACAGCACTGGGTAACGATAAATTCGGGTTCAAACGTTGTAGTTTACACAATCTATAGTATAATAATAATTTGGGTCTGTTATAAACAATTTAATTTAGGACGTGTGTACTTTTCCAAATTGACTGTTTTTCGGGGTAGGGATTTTCACAAACATTGTTTTTTTTTGCCGGTATACTTTTGACTCAGACATGATTTCTACTAATGAATTGGACACAATTTTGAAGTCATTTCCGCATACCCCATCAAATCCAAAGAGTTACCCCTGGCATATGCTATTCCATGATTTTGGGAAACGTTTTACACACTTAAAGTGACTTGGAAGAACTAAAATCAACATACCTCGCTGGGAAGTCAAAATTATTTACATCTTTCCAGTTGGATGTTAGTAATCATGGTAATTGCATCTTAACTACTGTCATCTGCAAATTTGAATCGTGCAGACTTGATATGTCTGGGTACGGAGGGATGTTGGCTTTGGGGGTGACGGTCGAAACTGAGCTGCATCTTGCAGTTGCATTTTCACTATCATGATTTATTCTCTCAGAATCTGGCAAGGATTGTTGGGAAATGGGTTCTTCTGAAGAACCTTTCGTTTCTATTGAAACGGGTTTAGTAAAAAAACTGTCAATAGTTTTTCATTCAGCCTTTTCATCTTTTTCGCTACGTTTTGACGTCATGTCGTGTTCATACCAAAAATTAATGATTTAAATAAAAAAAAACTTTCATTTGAAACCAAATGTCGTTATTTAATGACATTGCATCAATTAAAAAAGCGACAACATATATATATGTGTTTCCTTTAAACATTTTATTCATATTTTTTTTTTTTGCCCTTTTTATTTTTTTCAGCATGCCGAAGAGCACGCAACTGCGTGTTGGCATATAGGGAGCAACGCGCCTGCCTGTTGTTCTTGATTCTTTCTTTCAGTTGCTTTCGTCATCGCCAATTTTCAATTTTGACCAAGTCGATGAAACAGCAATTTTTCATTTATAAGTAAAGAAATTCAAAGACATAAACGATTTATTTCTTTAGAAAAGAGGTGAAAGCATTGACTTTACAGTTGGTTGTATTTTATTTCATAAAGACAATCAGGTACCGTACTTGTTACTTGAGAGCATACATCAATTCATTCTGATTTCCGGCAAAATAAGTTTGTTACTTCATTAGAACATGGTGAGAATTGCCTTTAGATAATGTTTAATCCACTTATTGCATTAAAAACGTCATATTCCTTTCCAAATACCTTGTCAAACATCGTTTTTTTCAGAGTACTGATCTCCACCAAAAACAATTCTTTACTGAAATATTTTGTGTTTACTGTATACATTAATATTGTATATACTTGCATGTACTTGCAGTAATAATGAGTATGTTTTATGCTTCACTTTGGCAAAAATAAAAAGAAATATGTGATATTTCTAGTTACATTTTGTACCCTGGAAATTTTTGGTGCTGATAAAAAAAAATAAAACAAAAAACGCATCCATTTCAATCCTAGAAAGATAAAAGATATGTATGTATTTGGCCAATTTTTTACATTTGCCGCGCATTTAATATTTGAAAATTCAGTGAAATTCACTTTCAGGAACAAAATATTGTGTTTATTGTTACTGTTAAAAAAAAGTCTGTTAGAATTTTTCTGTGCATCAGAAAATTTTTAAAGGATAAAGATACAAATTTACATGTAGCTATCCGATAACAAAATACATTTGGAAAGAGGAACTTCAATATAAAAATAAGGAGATGAGGTATGATTACCAATGAGACAATTATCCACCAGAGTCTGAATAACATGGATGTAAGCAACTTGAGGGTAGTACAGCAATGAGCAAAACCAATACCATATAGTCAGCTTTAAAGGGTCTAACATGACAAAATGAAACAATTTAAAACAAGAAAACCCAAATTACTGATTGATGACAAAACATTTAACAAAAGACAAATTGACAGACAGCAACCAGTGAAGATCATTGATTAAAAGGCTCTTGAGTCTTGATCATGATGTTAAACATGTTTGTGACTGTGAGAGCTCAACCCTTCCACTAAATTTGGTAACAGCACAACATAAGAACAAACTGTTAAAATCAATTGGAAATGGCTTTACTCAACAGATTGACAAGGAGCACAAAAAGCAACAAGCATATTAAGAATAAAAGACTCAAAGTACCAATCTAAAGATGAGTCCAAGCAGTTACTAAAAGCTAGCTCAAACAAACCAATAGATGTCCAAATTATTCCATACTTAAGAATTGGCAATTCAAATAAAGCGTTGCCAAACCATGCTGAAAGATTGTCCTACCTGTACATGTATTTTCTGACTTGTATCACCATGATAACTGGAATCATCACTTTTTGGGGGGGAATTTCAGTTGATGTACAATGTATTTTGTTTTGACTGTGTTGTCTTATGAAGTATGTTGATGTAGGTAACATGATTAACCAATGAAAGTAAATAGATAAATAGAAATATCTCAATATTCAAATGATTTGTGCATGAGGTTTACCGTTTATATGAAAATAAGAAGATGTGGTATGATTGCTAAAGAGAAAACACTCTACCAGAGACCAGTTGACTTAGAAGTTAGCAACTATACATTTTTTTTTTTGTAGGTCACAGAACGGCCTTCAACTATGATTATCATATTTTAAGAATATTACTAATCACTAATCATTTTCTAATTGTCGTGACTATAATTTTCAAAATTCAAATGATACCTACTATAACATGTTTTAAACACAAACAAAAGTACTGTGTCACAGCCTAGAATGAAATACTTGACACTCATTCATAGTCACTAACATACTAATGTATTCATGTACATGTTGGTAACATTTTTGAGATAATAAATTACGATGTAGTAATCAGATTATACTTCATGTGATTTACAAAATGAACTGTCACTTTCAAAAACTTTCAAGCGGACATTAATAATTCTTTAATGAAAACAAACTTCACACATTTGTTATTCAATAATTTTGAATGTAAAATTTTATTTAAGGATTGGAGTGTTGAATCAATATTTGAAATTCACTGCATTAAGTTTCCAGTGACAGATCAAGATTTGTAAAATTTATTATACATGTACACTTTAATTCTATTAACAATATTGTTGATACCTACCATACTTTTAAAACATTTCCTATGAAATTTTCTTATGCATCATTGTATATATGAGTTCAAAGGATTTTAGTGAAAGGTTCATTAATCATTGCAAGGGTTACATAAACCAGCAATAAATTTATGGTTATGAATTTTTATGTCCTGGTTTAAATTTTGGCATCATGTATTTAGTTTATGATGAATTTGGGGTCTCATCTATATGAAACTTATATTATTATACAAATTCTTTAAGAAGAGAACTTTTTAGAATACATGTATGT